CAAACCAAGAAAAATGTAACTGCTAATCATCAAATTTGGAAACTGGTCAGGGAACGGACAAAGAAGAGTCAAGTAGCCATTTCCCATCTTTCACGACTAATTAACTTGCCTCACACACTCCATCATTCTTCGACTCCAACCCTGGCAACACCAGGGACCATATTGTTCCTCTTGCTCTAGCTGCCTGGCTGAGGACAGCAGTCAAACGAAATTACAAATCTTATTGACAGGGTCGTTGGGGCAGGGCACAAACTTTGAAAGCTCCACATCCACGGATGAGGGGGTGTTAGGAGAAAGTTGCGTATCGACTGATATGGAGTTGGCCGAGTTTAGCAGGTGAAGGTGCACACTCATCTCACGGGTAGAGGTATTAACGAAAAAGGGTTTCCCCCGCTTTATATTATAAAGCAAACATCCGATACATCCAACTCGCTGGGGCCGCAGCACAGATAAACCCAAAAGAAAAACAAGAAGAAGAAAGAGAAATAAATGCTGACAACGGCAGATCAACGAAGAAGGGAAGTCCGGCAACCGCTGCACCCTCCAAAGAAGTACCACCACGCTTCCAGCATCCCGAAGCGCCGCGCCCCAAGCAACACCCTCAAGAGGGAGTGTGACGATGCCGTCGCTGATGCCCGAACAAGTTCTGGGATTTCCCCCGGTACGCGAGGGATAGTGGGGAAGGGGTGTACCCGATGCCCCTCAGGAAGGTCCAACGGCGCCCGCAGGCGTCATCGCATCGGTGCCGGCCAGGCCAACAGGGATTTCTCCCGATCCACAACCACCACCACCACCTCAGGCATTTCGAAATGCACCACCTCCTCGGCCACCCACCAGCTTGTGCCACCACGATTACCGAACAACCCTCCCCGCTTCACTGGAGCTGTCAACACGAGGCTTGGAAAGGAAGAGGAGACACCAGCCACGGGAGCGACCACCACTTGACCGGAAGGAGGGGACAGCCTCCACTGCCACAGCGGAGCCGACCGGACGCGACGACGAGGACTTGCCAGGCCTCGATGGCCCGGCCGGGCCCACATGGACCCGGACAGTCCTGTCACCACGCTGCAGCACGCCGGCCAACGAAGTCCTCACCGCCCGAGACCGCCGCCACCACACCATCACCAAGGAACGTCGCCGCCGAGCACCAAGCCACCGGCCCGCGCCAACCCAGATGGGCCCAAAAGGGCCCAGATCTGGGCTGGGCGGGCGCCGCCAGCCGCAGCGCCACCGCGCCACCCCACGGCCAACGGCCGCACCGCCGCGTCGAGAGCCACCGGGCCCGCGGCACCACCACCGACGGGCCGCACCGATGCCGGCCGAGGAGCACCGCCACAGGCCACCACCGTCCGAGCAGGAGGGAGCCGCGCGCGGGGAAGGGCAGGCCCGCCGCCGCCAGCACCACGCGGCCGAAGCCTGGCGGCGCTTGCTGGCGGCGGCGGGAGGAGGCAGGGGCGGGGGAGGGGCGCTGGGGAGGAGAGGTATTTGGGGCGGGGGTGCCAACAGTGAAAACTACTTATCCATAGGCAGGGCGGTAAATTGCACATCGATTACCAGGCAGTTGGCCCGAGCAGAAGACGAAGTTGCACATCTCATTGGTAGTGGGTAGTTTGGGGTGGAGGTGTCGTTAGTGAAAATTGCATGGAAGAATCTTGCTCATTGACTGCTTGGCAGTTGCACTTAACAGGGAGTATATTAGACACAGAAAGTTTGTCGAAACAAACCCATGCGGGATCTAATTTAGAAGAGCATGTCGCGAGGATTGGATTCCAACAGTGAAAGTGGGTTTTAATTTCGGTGTTCAGTTCAAAATAATAAGTTTTTTAGAAAAATGAAATAAAAATTAAATGCGTACACAATTGTTCGCATCAGTGAAAGCTGCACATCCATGAGTATGGGGGAAATTACATATCGGTTGCTAGTCAGTCGCACCTAATGGGGTGTAAATTGCACACACAAAAATTAATCAACACATACTCATGAGGGATCCATTTCAAAGAGCGCGTCATGAAGGTTCCAACGACAAAAACAGATCTTAGTTCTGATGTTCAATTCACAGATGATTAATTTTTAAAAATTCTAAAACCCAAATTAAATGTGTTCGCACCTATTTACATGGGTGCTTTTGTCAGAAAAAATCATTTTGGTACACATGGTGCCTTTTCTAACATGGATAAAGGGGACAAACTATTTCTAAATATGGTTCGTCACTCCGGACGCCGAACGAGCCAACAGCCACTCGCTAGACGCGTCCTTATTTCTTACGTTTTTTATCAAGTTTGTTCCTTTTCATTTCTTTTATGTTTTATTTTTTCTCTTTTCCTTTTTATTTCCCATTTTCTTTTTTTGTTCCCATTTTTCCTTTCGAACATAGTTTCGAATTCATGAAGAATATATGATTTTTTTCGAAATCTATGACCTTTTTCAAATATGTTAGTTTTAAAATCTATGAACATTTTTCAAATTCAAATAATTGCCATATTCAAGAACTTTTTAAAAAATCTGTGAAATTCTTAAAATTAATGAACATTTTCATATTTTGATTTTTTAAAAAACTTAATGAAATTAATAGTGAATGATTTCAATTTCCTGAACTATTTCAATTTTTATTTTTTAAAATATTAAAAATTTATGAATTTGGAAACTTTTTTTAATTCGGGAAATATTTTGAATTCACAAATATTCTTTTAAATCTGTGAATAGTTTTCAAATTCATGAAAAAAATTCAGGTCGTGAATATTTTTTTGTTCACAAATATATTTTTTCAAATTCTCCATTTGTTTTGTCTTTTGTATGCATGAATATTTCTCTCAAATTCATGTAATCATTTTTGTAATGTATGGATTTTTATTGAAAACTAGAAGTTGGGTTTTTCATGAACGTATTATTGCGGATCTTTTTATTGGCTAGCCATCGAGCGACCAAGCGTCGAGCGGTACTCGGGTTGCAGTGATGAGTCCAATTTTCTACTACATTTGCTCTGAGTTTTGTGTCATAGATGTAGGTTTGATCAAAACTTTATCGCATTCGCGCACTGCTTTTGTCTATTTCCCTAAGGATTCCATTCGTGAGGAGTTTTAAGGCATAAGAAGAAAAGTACAAGAATATGGGGTAGCAAACACGTCAATTTACCCATCCCGCAGGCAAAGCCACATAATCCACCCATACCATTTTTCATCTTTTTCTTTGCATGCGTACACGTTATGTTCATGATCCATTGATCATTATGGATGGATGATACCCATGATAGCTCAAAGGTTAGCTAGTACAGTGTTCTAGCCTTGTACCGTGAGGACGTGTAGGATAGATTGGATGGTGGTCTATATATTCAGTTTACTTGTTCTTCCGCTTCCT